ATGTTCTACTTATTCGAGAATTCTCAGATATGCCATGAATATGTAAAAATTTCAGAATTATTTATTGATTTTAGTATTATTATTCATTAATATAATCAATATTTTATTTAATTTTCGAACTAAAGTGACAGATGTTTGTTCTCAGACCTGATAGGAGAGGTGTTTTTCATAGCTGCTTTCACTAGATGTGGAACAATTAGAAATATCAAAACAAATTCTGTATAATGCTGTAATTACCTTGGAGAGAGATTAGGTTTCGAGAATCCTTAATCCCCATTCAAGATGATGAAATTTTTGGGTCATTTTTTCTTAATTTGAACCATTTTAAATATCTAGAGAATAGTAAGCAACACAGCTAAATGCTATATCCATCCTATCTTAATTCAAAAGGAGAAGCTTTCTCTCCTAAAATCGGATCCTTATAAAAGCATATAATAATATGCAATTGAAATAGTTTTAAAGCTGTGTTTTTTTAGCACTTTTCTTATTACTTATATGCTGTTGTTGTTATGACTTATCTCACTTGTCTGACAGAAACACAGCAATCCCAGGAAGTTCATCGTGGCAAGGAGAGCAAGATTGCGCCTGTCGTTGGCACCATACAGAAGACATTGCTCAATTCCGTCCCCAATTTTGAAAAAGAGCACCCCGGGACGTATCCATAGAGTCTACCATCCTTCTTCTCCTACCACCAAGCTCTTGAGACGACATTCAGCTCGCCATGTATTTAGAGTGCCCCTCCCCTGCCGCAAAGACATTATACATTTACAAACAAATATTAATACGCAAAGACATTATACATGCCTTCTCCAGGATTCGAACCTGGACCCGTCGGTATCGCAGATGGCTCCCCTAACCCCTGTACCGTCTGGGCGTTTTATTACTTAGATATCATTGGCTTATATATTTTTTCGATGTAATAACATATAAATAAGCTCATTATTTAGCAATAATTTTAGTTTAGTTATTCACGATTGAACACTTAGTAATATGTAACTGTATCCTTTAAGCGACCATTTATTTTAATATTTAAGTAAGCAAACTTCTTATGAAGCACAAAACGTATAGAAAGGTTTATAATTAATATACAGAGGTGGTTTTTCAACCTATTTTTGCTCTATGGATGCCTCTGACCATCGCTAGAACATTATTCTTCCCCTTGTTTCTAAAAATCTAAAAATACATATATTTATTCTGATTTAGATTATTTTTTATTTCCGTTTTATGAATTAAAAAAAATAAAAAGTATAGAAAATCTTGATAAATATAAAAACTTGAATAAAAGTAATTTTTCATATTCATAAACTAAAATTAAGTACTTAGCAGCTAAATAAAAGGTTGACTTCATTCCTGAAACTATGCAATTACCGCTAGGTGGGGAATTTTGCCTTGGTTGCGAAAACCTGATTTACAGTTTAATTTTAATGTAAGTTATGTGCGTTTTAATGCTTTCAGAAAATATTTTTTTAATGTTATAATATAATAAGTAAATTCTGTATGTGTTTAGGTAAGACACATAAGGTAAGAACTCATAAGGCATTCAATTTGCAATCCTGAAAAAATTTCTAATTTAGTAATAAGTTTAATCGTTTACAGCACTGTTAAACAGCTGAAATTATTTAAGATTAATCATTTTTAATAAGAAACAAATTAATCTTTTTATACTGTTTAATATTTTGATTTATTAATTACTCTCTAACAACATTACTCTCAAACCTGTTATCAATTAGTAACAGAGCTTTCATATTCTGTTTTAACTGTAATTTATCAACATACAATGCAGTTCATTAACCAGTACTATGACCTTAAAAATGTGGTGATGTTTAAGATTATGTATTAGTTTTAAATTAATTTAATTTAGTTAAAATCTAATAAATTTTTAACGTATGAAAATTAAAGTTTGATCTTTTGCCATGCATATTTTTCCTAAAAGAAAAACTGAGAAAAATTGTGCTTCTTTTTCCGAAAACGAACCGTCACATTTCTTCCACAATTCATAATTTAAAAAGTGAATGCACGGTTTATGCAATAACAAATGAAATAATGAAGTAGGTAATATATATCTGAACGCAGAAAAATATTTTGTGGTTGAAATTTGTTTATTAATTAAACATAACTTAAAAAAACATACAAAATTAACATTGTAAATTCATCTTAATTAGTTATAAGCAAGTATTATAAAAACCCTAAGCTGATAATCAAAAGACTTCTTTAAATACGCTTTGTTTACATTAGCAGTGGCTCAAAAGGTCTGCTGTTTATAATTACATTAAATGAAATCTTTGTATTTTTTTAATTCTATTTGTAAATTAATACAAAAATTTTGCTTGATTTCTTTCTCACCATTATGATTTTTAATGGTTTCATTTTCTTTAACGTTAACTTTTTGCTTTCAGTTCTATTTCTGTTATTTACTTGTTACGAAGGTAAATATTAAAATATTATCACTTGGCTTACGTCGCACTGAAATCGTTAAAAATTAAAAGGGTATACCTATATAGAAATCTGCTTATTCTGGTCATTAAAACATACAATTACAAGCTTGCATTTGTATTATGAAGCTTTAAATTTTAAGAAGAAAAATGTCTCGTTACATAATTAAAAATTTCATTTGCAAAGTATTAACCACTAAGACAGTTTTACCCTATGAATTTATAATAAAATATTTTCATAAAACGCTCAATTTATTTTACAGTTTCAATAAAATGATGCCTTTTAAAATATTAATTCTACAAATCGTAATGTATTTCAGTTAGAAAATAAACGTATTCTTGACATAAAATAAAATTTGGGTTATATAAAAAGGTAAATTTGCAAATGTGCAGATATACAGAGCCAGAATTTGATTTAAATATAAGCTTTATATACAGACAAAAGGAAGTTGATATAAGAAAGCTGGGAATACAAATAAGAAACAGAAAACTAAAATTAATGCATCCCTCAATAAAACACATTTACAAACGTATTTTTAGCATTATTTTATTTTAATAAATAATGAAAAGTCATAAATGCATTCGTTCTCAGTTATATTTCTAATCGAAATTATTCAAAAATATATATTAAATGTTATGTAATAAAAATAGTTTTAATGAAATATGGAAGAAGTACAGAACTACATTACTTGCAAATGATAGTAGAATATTTATCAAGAATTCAATCAGAGATTTCAAAACATGGAAGTGTTACGTTGGATAATTTTCACAATATAAAGTAATATCTAGAAATTTTCAGAAAATAAAATGCAGTGTTTTTGAGTTGATAATATTTTAATATTTACCTTCGTAACAAGTAAATAACAGAAATAGAACTGAAAGCAAAAAGTTAACGTTAAAGAAAATGAAACCATTAAAAATCAAAATGGTGAGAAAGAAATCAAGCAAAATTTTTGTATTAATTTACAAATAGAATCAAAAAAATACAAAGATTTCATTTATTTGTTTATTTATTTATTTATATCAAAAATAGAATAGACTTTAATCTTCTAAAGTTAAAAGTAAATTGAAGTCAAAGCAAGGCAATTCCTCAAATATTTAAAATATAGAGTAGTGAATACGAAATAGATGAAAGAAAGAAAACGGAAAATAGTGAAAATTAAAATAATAATATTCAATCTATTAACAGAATTATAAATACAATGTTATGGAAAACAAAAACAGTACTCGCCAAATTAACTTACTTATCTCAACATATGAACACAGAAGGATGACTTAAAAACAGGACACTATTTATGCGTGAAATTGATATAACTCATAGACACACTATTCAGCAGAGAAAGCGGCGTTTTTCCTTCAGAGGAGGTTTCTCTATACGCCGTGGAGAAGATGTTAGAAGAGAGAAAATGACATGAAGATGATCGGAGAGAGAAAATGATCTCAAGTGAGAAGGATAAAACAACATTCAGATAGCTTCAAATATTCACTACAACAATTACACAAATTTTCAAAGGAAATAATGATCAAGCAATTATTTTCAGTATAAAGCACAGAAATGAAATGCTATTTATAAATCTTAAACTAAAAAATATAGAACAATTTTAAACATTCAATAATGTTCGATTTAAACTTGCATACAAATAAAAGATTAAACTGAAGGTAATATTGTTATGGAATGAATCAACGAAAAATGCCTAATTTAATTAATTCTAGTAAATGGTTGGCATCAAAAATGACAAAATAAATATCATTTAGTTGCCAAAAATAAAACGAAAATTTTCTAAAAATGAGCTTAATAATAATAAAAAAATTCTCTTCCGAAGTCTAACATCCATAAACGTATCTCATATCGAGGACGCAATTCTCAATTTTAAGCAGAGCAAAATTTAGACTTGATAAGAACTTAAACTATTTGAGATATGGAGCATTTATAAGTTTGCTATAATACATTTTAATACTATTTATACTATATTTTAATTTTTGGGGGGCCCCCAAGAAAGAGGGAGCCCTACGATATAGCTCGTGTAGCTTATATGCCCTGATTTAAGAGCTGCCCCCTCACACACAAAAAAAAGGTAAATATATATTCGTTAGACAAATAAAACGGTAGAATTAAATAGCATTTTAACTGAAACAAAATTAAAAACAGGCAATTATTAAGCAGTGAAGAACATAAACGCTATATGAGGGATGTGGAAGATGCCAACATTAAAATCGAGAGAAGATGCAGAAAAATTCTAAGTGGAGAGACTACGATCAGGCTGAAATCAATCACGCTGTTGGATGAATCATCACAACACGGGGAATACCTCACGAATATAGGTTGAAAGCGTTAACAACCTTCTCACAGACAGAAGAAAATAACCAGTAACACACACATACACACAACAGAAGCTGACCTAAAGAGTTGGAAGCACCTGCTTTGCGACCTTTTGCGATTCTCGGGTCTCTCTTTCTCGTGAGATAACTACAACGCTTTTGAATTAATTCGCCTTTCTAGCAATTACATCACGCCGAAAAAAGAGCAGAGCAGTAGAAATTATGCAGCAAAACAAAACATGGACTCACCTTTCGTAACCGTGAATTATCCTTTCACGTCGTAAGCCTAAAACATATCCAACAGAAAAACAAAAATGCACTCAGTCGACACCAGCCTCACTTCTCGCTGCCTCGGTCGAGTTTAATAGGGAGAATGTCAGCGGAGAATCGGATCGAAGATCGACCGGAAGCGGACCCTAGAGATCTCCCGGTTCCGGTTTCGGTTTAATTCTCGAGGCCTGTCTCGGAAGCGGTCCCCAATCGCCCCAAACTGGTCTCGATCTGTCGAAAGTTTCTACCTCAACCGCAGAAAAATCTCTCCCTCAGCAGCAAGCGTCGTCTGCAAAGGTGAAGTGGTTTCTTTCTCTACCAAAAGCGGGAGGCACGGCGGCTGTTAGAATGGCCGCGGCGTTCTGCCGGTGTTGCTGCATTATTCAGAGGGGAGGATCTCGTGACGTCACGGCATGGGAGGGGGTGGAGGTTCGAGGACCTCGGAAAGAACAGCGCTACTACTAGGCGAGGGGGCTTTAAACGAGGAAAACCCCCTTTTCGCCACATTTGGCTGCTTATCGTTTTTTGAGAGGTTAGGCAGCACAGCATAATAACGTTTTCCAATTTACGACGGGATTAGTCAATGAAGGGTGAAACATCTCTATGAATTTCTTTTTGGGGTACTAATTTCTTAAAGCGGTACTTTAAGAGAAAGGCGTATTTTACACCCCTTCCCTTTCCAGCAGTAATTAATTAAAATATTTATATACTTGCAACTGATAGCGTACAATTCATTTACTGCAAAACACCCTATTAATCTGATTACGAGCCATGTTTAATTCTTACTTCCGATACTCGCCACTGTGACAACTTCTATAAAAGGTCTGTTTTAATTTAATAGCTATATAAAACTATGAATTTTGTACTTCAGGAAGGAACTGTTATCCAATATTATTAATAAACCAATGAAAGAAAACAAGGTCTCTAAATGGTGAAATTAATTTCGTTTTTTCTGACCTATCTTAAAGAATTTAGAAATGAAAATGATTGACGTTAAAAACATTCGCAATGTTATCTCTCCGTTCTTCCAGTCAATTTACACTGCCAAATAGGTTTTTGCTCTACTGCAGCGATTCTCAACCGGTGGTAACTGTACCACTGGTGGTACGCAAGAGAAAAGTAAGTGTTACGAAAAAAAAAAGTATTTTTAATTATTAAATTCAAAAATCTCGTGAAGAAAAAGAACAATTGATAGAAATTTTCTGTGATCGAACTCTAGCTGAAGATTTCAAAAATAACACACTTGTTAACTTTAGGCTGAACTGAAAAAATGAACTTAATGGCATTCCAAATAAAGCTATTAAATGTTTATTCACTTTTTGCACAACCTATTTGTGTGAGCAAGGATTTTCTTTCATGTTATACTTGGAAAAAAAAAAAAAGTATACAGAACAAAATTAAAAGTGGATTCTAGTTCACGGTTAAAGCTAAATCAAATATAACCAAACATAAAGAAATTGATCTCTCTTAAACAGGCCCAAATTTTACAATTAATGTATTATAAGTTAAATTTTGATAATTAAAATGTTAGCCAATTTTTAATTTAACATTTCTTATGTGTGCACATTTAACACATATAGTCAATAGGTTGTGCGAATGGCAAAATATGTATTTTGTTAATATTTCTATTGAGAAATGGAAAAATAATCATTGTAAAATCTAGTGGTGGTACTAAAGTTTTTCAATTTTTGTTTAGATGGCACGCGTTAGTCAAAAGAGACCGCTGCTCTATTGCTTTAACATCCATGAGGCTTGGCAAACTGCCAATTCTAAAACACTGTGGACTTCACGTAACATTTTACTTAACATCTTAGTCTGTCAAATTGCAACGTACATTGCATATGAGTGTAACAAACCGATAGATTTAAAAATAATTCTCAGAAACTTTTTCTTTTCTTTTTATTTTTATCTTTCAAACCGCAGCAGCGCATAGTTAATTGACACTTGAAAAAAAAGTTGTTTAAAAACAATAACTTTTTTAAAAAATTACATAAATATAGGCCAAAAGCAGTTTATGAGTTGTAGAATCATTAGGTTTTTTGAAGCAGATGACATCAAAAATTTTCAATGCCCTCGCCGGGACTCGAACCTGGACCTCTCGAATACCCACCTACGTTACACCACGAAGGTATGTTGGAAGGAGGGAGAAAATACCTTACATACCCCCTTCTTTTAAAGGGCTGCTAGGGATTAGGGAACCCAATCGCCAAATCCTGGCGGTGAGGAATTATCGTGCACCATCTTTTTAGTTCGGGGCCCCCTGTCGAGTCCTTAAGTTATTTTTGAAGCAAAAGACTTTAAAAATGTGGAATGCTCTTGCCGGGGTTCGAACTTGAACATCTCGAATACGCTACGAGTGTGCTGCTATACCACGAAAAAATGCTGAAAGGAGGGAGAAAATACCTTACATACTCTTCCCTTTAAAGGGCAACTAGGGATTAGGGGATCCGATCACCAAATTCTGGCGGTTCAAATCCTAGCGGTGGCCAAATCACCTTTAAATACCTTATAGTGCATAAATCTTATCTTGCACCACCATAAAATACCTTATAGAGTATTTATAATATGCATTACATTAAAATTTTGTTAAATATTTTTGCTTTAATAATTGAAAAATAATTGGTCTAGAACCATGTATTATTAATCTAGACTTAAAATTTGATCATATTAATAAAGATCCTCATAAAAGCGATGCGCTTTTATTTCCGGAAATAATGTCAAAACTTTAAACTTTTTCTCATTTTTCATGTCTCATTTTTCATGTATTAAATTAAAATTAAAATGTCCGGTTTTATTTGGTTTGTACTTTAAACAGTGTTCTTCTTATTCTAAATAATCTTTCCAAGGAGCATGTAATTTTACATCTTCTCTCTTAACCAGAAAAATGGTTACAAAATTGACTGGGCACTTACTATATGTTATTTGGAGAAGAGACATTAATTTAGCTAGACTTTTTTTCATCATTTCTAGCTTCATTTTTCTACAGTCAGTTTGCATTATTAATTTCAGTTGTGAAATATTTATTTCCAATATTCTTCCCAAATATGTGCCATAGGATTCGCATCTACATACATTTATTAGGGTTTATTTTTAATACTTCTCGAATATTGCCAGAGTTCCAGCATGCTTAGTGTAAATGTTTTGGCAGAATTAGGAATTATTCTGTAACTTAAGCTTTTGTTTTTATTATGCCAAATTTCGTTTTAAAATATCAGTATTTGTGTGTTGATTCTTTACAACATCAGTAAACTTAAGACCGTAGCTTCAAAGACCGACGAATACTTCTAATCGTAAAACTCCGCTTTTGCTATTGAAATTAATTTCCGTTTCCCAAATCTTTTTTTTTTTTTTTTTTTTTTTTTTTTTTTTTTTGGCATATCTGTATGCCAAAAAGTATATATTCAAATCAAAAACTTTAAATTAGGTTTTATTATCAAATATTACCTAATTCCATCATTCAGAATTCTTATTTCAGATAGATTTTGAAAAGAAAGCTTCGAAGCTGGTATTTTCAACTCTTCTTTTGATGTAACATTTTCAGTTCGCTGTCGGGCCATTGCATCTAGCATATACGATTACTATTTTAACAGTCTTTCCATTAACAAATATATTATACGATTAATAAAATTCAGTTTGCTTTAAAAAATATTTTATTACATCAAAAATTGCTAAAGACTTTGTAAGGTATTTTTCCGCTTTCTTATGATGCCTTCGTGGTGTAATGGTCAGCACAGCGCGTATTCGAGAGGTCTGAGGTTCGAGTCCTGGCGAGGGCATTTCTCATTTTTCATGTCTCCTGCCTCTACAACTTTAGTAACTTCTTTAGTAGATTCATTTATTTATTTATATGTTTATTTTCTAGTTACCGAGAACTAACTTTCGAATTTCTGAAAGCATACGCTTTTTATCTCATTGCACGAAGTAAAGTAAGCACTGTAATCGCGAAACATTTCGGGTATCATATTTCAACAAAAATATCCATTTTGACCTCTCTCGAATCGAACAATGTTTTTGCATTCAGTAGAGATCTGCGTATGCACGCACGTATGTATGTATGTATGTATCTAGCATAACTCGAAAACGAGTAGCCTCATAATGTTGAAGTTTTGTGTGTGGGACTGCTATAATATCTAGTTCTGCACCTCCCTTTTTTGTTGCAATCGGCAGACCTGGTCCATCGAGTTGATCGTCTGTCTAGTCTCGAGTTGGTCGTCGGTTGTATCGTGAGTTGGGGCGTCGAGAGTGTGCATCGCTGAGGTATCGAGTGTATCGTTTACTGGTTCGCCAGTTGTACCGTGGAGAGACTCGAGAGTACGTAGAGTTCTGAGAACGAATAAATCGAGTCGGGAGCTGTACTGTGGTGCTTTGCCCTGAAGCTGTCTTCGCCGTTATAGCCTGATAGCTGTGCTTAAGATTGTTTCAGCGCGTTTGCCGTTTCAACGATTGTAAACGTGTTTTTGGAGCTGCGTACATTAATATTAGCTAATAAATTGTGTTTTGATACTTCATCAAGTGCTGTTCTTGTTATTCACTCCAAATCCACGAAACCGTACGTAAGAAAACACAACAATATATACCCGGCCTCTTACACGGATATTTTATAAGTAGGTAATTTTTTTTTTTTTGCTTTAAAAGTGATTGAATTATATTGTTCTTTTGTTCCGGTTAAGATTTTTATGCCTTTGATTAATCTTCAGGCAATAGTCGAAGAACTACCAACAGTTTAAAAGTTTAACAGTCGCTAGGCCTAATGAAAGAGCCATTTGTTTACATTTGAAACTCTTAGTAGAATAGTGAATTAAGTCAGCTGGTGCATCAGTTTCAGCGATCGAACTTCGAATCATTCTTTGGTTTATGTTGCTTCTTAACTAAGGTGAGAGCAACCATATTATTAAATTAATATAAAGTATTTATAAGACTGGCATTTTGCATAAGTGAAATTTTTGATAAAAATAAATTTAACTGATTTTATTTATTTATTTAGAAAATATTTAATTGCGCATAAAAATTACATAAATGCTTCCTGATCTTCCAAAGTGTTACACTCATTAGTGAGCTCTAATCATCTAATTATGATTTAATTAAAATTAAACGTAAAAAAGAAAAGACAGAGAGTTTCAGTATAAATGCTACCAAAGATTTTTTTTTTTTTTTTAATTAGAACATTTTTTTTTTTTTTTTTTTTTTTTTTTTTTTTTTTTTTTTAATGTAAGCGGCGCAAATGCAGGTTAGAAAGAAATTATCCAGCCTGAAAATGGCGATAAAAGTGTTTCTTTATTAAGTAAAGGTGAAAAGTTTTAATATTC